CCATTCTTTTGCTTCCTTCCCTGATTAAGAAAATTAAACTTTCAATCAAAATTAAACCTACAGTGCCTTTACTATCTAAAAGTAAAAGATACATAGTGCTTTCTCAACACAAAGAGGTAGCTTGAAAATTTATTCTAAAGTTCAAAAATAATTTTAAAGTTTTGTATTTCTTTCCTATTCCTCTTTAATCTCTACTTTTTCATTTTATGCACAATCCTAAAACTTCTAATTTGCATCTAAAAGCTAACAGGACTTACATCTCATGAGTTCCAAAAAAGAAAATGGGTAGTTTGTTTGTAGGTAGTTTTACAGCTCCATCAGGAACTTCATCTACCTAAAAGAAACATTAAAAAAAATTACCATCATTCAGTCATATACACTTCAACACATCTGAATAAGTTGATAACATATTCAAGACAGCTGAAGATATAAAATCAGACATTTTACAGGTTCCAAATCTTATTCCCAACTCTGAAACCTAAGAAGTTCCATAAAACAAAGGTGTCTTTTTCACTTTGTTGCAAAACCAAAGCTAATTCAGTCATTTCTTTTACGCAGTCATGTTTCTATAATTTCTCTGCAGAAAGTTATGTGCCATGCTAGCAGTAGCAAAACACATGGAATATGCACCACCATTAACTTCTTCGAATCCCTAAATTCTCAATTCTTAAACTTATCTTAATCCAAGTATTTCACATAAAGAATGTCAAAATCTACATGAAGAAATGCTCAACCTCTCTAGCCATAGAAGAAATGCAAATCAAAACAACATTGCAATACCACCTCACCCCATTTAGAATGGCTATAATCAAGACCTCTAATAACTACAGATGCTGGAGGGGATGTGGACAGAAGAGAACCCTACTGCATAGTTGGTGGGAGTGTAAACTTTGGGAAGTACTATGGAGATTCCTCAAAAGACTCCACGAAGAGCTCCCCTATGACCCAGCAATCCCACTTTTGGGCATTTACTCAGATGGTCACAAACAAGACCATACAAAAGCTACCAGCCCAACTATTTATGTTTATTGCAGCATTATTTACCATAGCTAAGATATGGAACCAACCCAGATGCCCCTCAGTAGATGAATGGATCAAGAAAATGTGTTATATATAAAATGGAATTCTATGCTTCTATCAGAAAGAATGACACTGCCCCATTTGTTAGGAAATGGAAAGACTTGGAAAAAAATTATATTAGGGGCTGGGAAGGTGGCTCAGGGGTAGAGCGCATGCCTTGTATGCATGAGGCCCTGGGTTTGATTCCTCAGTACCACATAAGAAAAAAGCTGGAAGTGGCGCTGTGGCTCAAGTGGTAGAGCGATAGCCTTAAGCTGAAGAGCTGAGGGACAGCGCCCAGGCCCATCCATAGTTCAGGCCCCACGACTGGACCCCCCCAAAAAAACAAAAAAACAAAAAAAACTTATATTAAGTGAAGTAAGCCAGGTGCAAAGAAACATAGGTCCCATTGGTTTCCCTTATTTGCTATAACTAGTATATAGCTGAGACAAGCAGAAAAGGTCAAATAAGATGATATTAAGTGAAATGAACACCAAGATAAGGAATCAAATGGTTTTTTTTCTTGCTTGCTGTTGTTTGTAACGTATTTATAAGGTACCACATGATTTTTTTTGTTTTTTTTGTATGTCCCTCCCCCACGGTATAACCCATTTTCACTGTATTTGATGTTGGTATAATTTGGGAAGCAGAAGGGAAAAAATAAATTGTGTAACCAGGGATACAGGCTGACCCATTGCAACAATGACATGTACAAGATGCTATGTCAAAAAACAAACTTTAAGGGCTAAGAAGGTGGCTCAGTGGTAGAGCACTTGCCTTGCACGCATGAGGCCTGGGTTCGATTCCTCAGCACCACATAAGCAAAAAGAAAAAAGCTGGAAGTGGCACTGTGGCTCAAGTGGTAGAGCGCTAGGCTTGAGCTGAAGAGCTGAGGGACAGTGCCCAGGCCCAGAGTTCAGGCCCCATGACCGGACCCCCCCCCAAAAAAAAGAAAAACGAACTTTACAATTTGGGGGGGGTAAGTTGTATAGGTGGGAGGGAAGGGATGGTGGGGGAAAACCAAGGAGGAAGCAATAATGCTTGGTAAGAAATGTATTTATTACTTTGCTCATGTGATTGTAACCCCTCTGTACAGTATCTTCACAATAAAAATTTATTAAAAAAAAGAATGTCAATCTATTTCACAATTCTAAATGACATTCTAGAAAGCATAAACAGAGTAATGTAAAAGCTGACATTAACAAAAGTTTAAAGCAACACTTCCCACTCTGAAATGTATAATGAAAACATCCTTCAATTGTATGGCTGAATCACATGGGGTTACCTGTTCCTTTATTAGTTTTCAATCTTTCAAGCCACCAAGCACTAGTATGTTCCAAGAGTTAAATAACATTTCTATTTGAAATTTCAAAAACATGGGGTTGGAGTTGTGGTTCAGGTGGTAGAGCACCAAGGCAATGAGCAAAAGTATCAGATTACCAGGGTCTGAGTCCCAATCTCAGAGAGGAGGAGGACAAATACAAAACATTTTAATTAGAAAACAAGTTGACTGCAAATACAAGAGCTGACCCTAGTATCTATCTGTGTTAGCATTACAGAATAGAAAATCTGGACTCATAATCTATAATAATGAGGGTTTCAGACAATAACAGAATAATCATCCAATAGTTCTAAGAACCTTAATTTCTCTACTTGTCCCCTCCATCCTTATACTATTATGTTGGTTCATATGCTTCTTCCTGCTAGTAAACAGCTTTAAGAGTTTGTTCAAACGCTTACTACATGTTAGGCAAATATTTTAAGTTATTTTCAAAAGTACTGCTAATAGGAAGAGGTGACAAAGTTCCAAAACAGAAATGTACTCATTACTTATGAAATGGTAACCTCTGTATAAAACACTTTAATAATAACAAAATCTTATTTTTAAACTACCACTAGTGCCAGTGCCAGTGGCCTGTAATCCTAGCTACTCAGGAGGCTGAGGATCACGGTTCAAAGCCAGCCCAGGCAGGAAAGTCGGTGAGACTCTTATCTCCGATAAAACCACTAGGAAACTGGAAGTGGCGCTATAGCTCAAGCGGCAGAGTGCTCGCCTTGAGCTCAAGAGCGCAGGGACAAGAAGCTTGCAATATGTTTCAAAGTCAAAGCATATACAAAAGAGTTAAACAGATTTTCCTAAAGGGAACTGCTAGCTTAAAATACCAAAGGATTATTATATTAAGGATTATTCTAGTAAGACTCTACTGAAAAGTTAGACTAGGGGAAAAAAGGAAACTAACTGAAATTGATAAAGACCTGGAAGGAGAAGGGATCAAGGCACATTGGAAAAGTCCATCAAGCCACATACTGCAGATTTGGGCACACTACTGTACACAATGTTTTCATGAAAATATATAAATATAAAACAAAATCAAGGAACAAAGTGATCTTTGTTTTTTTTTGTTTTGGGTCCGGTCGTGGGGCCTGAACTCTGGGCCTGGGCACTGTCCCCCAGCTCTTTAGCTCAAGGCTAGTGCTCTACTACTTGAGCCACAGCACCATTTTTCTGGCTTTTTTCTTTTTGCTTATGTGGTGCTGAGGAATCGAACCCAGGGCCTCATGCATGCAAGGCAAGCGCTCTACCACTGAGCTACCTTCCCAGACCCCAAAGTGCTCTTTTAATACTTGGGAAACACGTAGCTTCTCACTCCATGATTCTCTATCTAATGGGTTTTCCCCCACCTCCTCTTCCTAGGTACTATAACTAGAACTGTGATTTATTTTTAAGAACTGTCTTTTTAAAGAAAATTAAGTATCAAATAGTTTGAAAATAAAACAACTTTGGAACATCAGAGTTATATTTTGAAAAAAGGGTTTTGACTGTACCTAATTAATAGATCTCAATATTCCTGGGTTCTGAGGACCTGAATCCCACCATAAATTGATTTAAAAAAAAAAGACCTTTCCCTGAACTAAATTCAGAAAGTCTCATGAACTGCTATTTGTAATCCTTTTGTAAGCAAAGTGTAAAACAACTTAATCATAGATGACACTCAAGAATTGATCATCTGCATTTGATTCCATTGGTATTTTGTATTTTACTCAAAAAATTAAAGAAATGGTGATGGTTCACTAAATTTTAAACATACAAACTCCTACTTGGGTCATTTCACCTACAATGGAACCACTCCCTAGCTTTTTTTCCACCAGCAGATCATTCTGTTTAACTCTTTCTGAAATGACTCAGGCCAAAAATCATATCTGGAAAGACTCTGCTTCATCTTCCAGTGGCGCCTATTTACAATCTTTCTTGGTAGTTGTAAACTACTTAGAAGTAGACATCATCTTATGCATTGCCTATACTTGGCAGATAATCAATTTTTCTAACAAATATTTAAATGGATGAGAAGAAGCAGGTGAT